AAGGTTGGTGTGTATTGTGTATACCTGACTGCCTGCTGATTAGTTTCAAAGCTGATAAATACTATTGGTAAAGGTTGGTGTGTATTGTGTATACATGACTGCCTGCTGATTAGTTTCAAAGCTGATAAAAACTATTGGTAAAGGTTGGTGTGTATTGTGTATACCTGACTGGCTGCTGATTAGTTTCAAAGCTGATAAAAAACTATTGGTAAATGTTGGTGTGTATTGTGTAGACCTGACTGCCTGCTGATTAGTTTCAAAGCTGTTAAAAACTATTGGTCAAGGTTGCAGTGTGTATCCGAACCTCCCAGAGGAAGGGTGTCAGCAGAGCTTTCTAAGCCTGTTGAGAGAAAGGGCGCTATGTGCGTAGTACTTGTATAGAAGTCTAGATAGCAAGGACACTTCTCTCCACAACTGAGTGGAAAGCGTGACTAATCCCGAACAAGATATAGTAATAAATATGNGCTGATTTGTTTCAAAGCTGATAAATACTATTGGTAAAGGTTGGATACGGGAGAGGTTTTGCTCGAGCATAAACTGGGATTCCAGTATTTTCTAGATAAAAGAATATAAATATAAAATGGCTTCTAATAGTTTCGATACCAGTATAAATGAATCAATTAACGATGTTAAATTTCTGAATTGTAGATTGATTAACCTGACGAAGTTTGTGTGTATTAAGTCCATCTTTGTTGTAATGGTTCTCAGTATAGAAGTTCTTGATACAGCTGGTAGATCGTAAAAATTCTCTAAATCAAGAAAAACTAAATTCCATAGACAAAATAATTTGGAATCTATTTTAAACGTCATAATTATCGATTCCAGGTTCAACACCTCCTTGTAAAACGGTTTCAAAAACCAAATAATTGGAAAATGCTTAATGAAAATATGTTAAATTATTTAATCTGTAAAGAAAGAAAAAATGTTAAGAGATCCTTGAATTCAGTTCAACAGTTTAAAATATGATAAGTGAGCTAAATTTAAAATAGTTTCCAATGATAAAAATAAACAAGAAATTGGGTAAAAAGTTTTCATTTAAAGGGTAAATAAATGGTTATTTATATAAATGACGTATCTAAGTAATGAACTGGATTATTCAATAAATTCATTTTCTTAAATTCAAAAATTAATCAGGCTCCAAATCCCCAAAAAATAAGTTTAACACACTATTTTGACATCTGGACATATAATTCTACATAGAATAGGTGCTCAGCATAAAAAAAATGTAAGAAACCTCAAAAATACAAAAATATTTCAGGCTTACAAAATGTTAAAAAATTTAAGATCAGTTAACAAGGTTACCCACAAAGGATTAGATGACCAAAAATCTATGAAATATAACAATAAGAAGATTTACTTAGGTATTTTGTACTAAAAATGTCTTTAAATCTTCTGATAAATGAGTTGGCACCGAAAGAAACAAGGAACAACAACTGCATTAATTTAGTTATGTTTTCTCTGTATATACAATATATTCACCTGTATATTCTCCTTAGTTTAACTGTACTCCTCGCCCATTCTAGAAAATTCATAAACATCATTAATTCAACATTATTTAAGGTTATCATAAATAATTAAAACAATTGATAATTATTGAAACCTATGGAAACGCAGGTGTAGGACGGATATGTATTCCTCAACCATTCTCTGTATATGTTGTCACATTATATCATTATGGTNTTTAGATAGTTATGCAAATTATATCTGTAAAAAAAAAACTGTGTATCATGTGGATAAACTTAGTCTTTACTATCTTCTTCACCCTGTAGTTCATAAACATGATTCTAATAACTTATGTTACCCTCTGTTCCAACCCTTACGCTGAGTATCCTCCCTTTTCTTTATACTCCCTCACCTCCTCCTTACCTTTTACCTGATTTATTATCATTCTTATGTTTAAAATGTACAATGTACATTGTTTTTATCTGCAATTCTCATTCGTTTATAGTGGGCCAACCAATTAAAACAACCTACTCTGGTTAGGCGGGTCCAAACTACATAGTAAATTGTGATTTTTTTATTTGTATTATCTCGTGCTTTGTAGTTGAATAAAAATATGAAATATGAAAGGAGTTATGATTGAAAAATATCAGATTTCAATCTTAGGTGTAATTTACTTTAGTAATGTAAAAACTATAAAGAAGAATAATGATAACGTGAATAAACATTATTAACTAACCACTGCCAGCTAGAAACTGAATCTAAGGTGAGTATAGTTGTTGAAGCCAATATGTCCTCCTCCTCTGCCTCCTTGTTGTTCCAGTTAATGGTGAAAGAGATGAGAGAGAACACCAGGATTATCAAGGATTCAAGAATTATCAATCTCTGGAACCTAAAATAATAATTATATAGCTATAATTCTTTAACATGTTTCTGTAGTTAAGCGAAAGATTAAATTGTGGTGGGGGCAATTTTATATAAAAAATAATAATGTTAAATTTAAAAGAAATGGCGGGAAGCGGCAAGGAAATTTTTCATCTACTTTTTAGGAGGCAAACATCTCTTTTTCAGATGGGGGCAAGCCTATTTTTTACTGCTGTGGATTTCGTTTATCAAATTATTCCTTTAAATATATAAATACTAAAATTAACAAAGCTCTGTATTCTTTGAAAAATGTAAAGCATAATATTTCGGCGGAAGCCTTGAAAAACTTTTATTATTAGCTGAATTCATTCTCACTAACTTTACTGTCTTCTTGTTCAAAGTTGTGGGAAGTCAAAAAATTCTAAATGAATATAGTCTTGGCTTTTCTGATCCCTGAATCTTTGCAACTTGATGGTGTAAACCTTTAACATTTCAAACTTAGATTATTTGATATATATAACATAATTCTTAGTTTGAAATATCTAAGATCTACAACACTGGATTGAATAGGAATTAGAACTCTGATTAGTTTGTGGCAAAGACTCAATTCCTATGTTGCCTAAAAGTAAAATATAGGGGCTATTCACATTGTGTCAAAAGCGTAAAATGCAGGATTGTCTGAATTTTCAATGTGTCTCATATTTAATAGTTGAAGTGCACCACCGTCTAAGTTAATTGCTATATTTTTTTTTATCTTCTGTGAACTCTCTGCAGCTCACCTACTCTACGCAACCTCCAACTCTCCCATCCACAAAGGAATTGAGTCTTTGCAGCCATAAACTCAAATTTCTTAATCCATATATCATTGCAATCAGATGGTGTAAACTTGTGATATTTCAAACTTTGATTATTTGAGTTCACAGAATTCATAGTTTGAAATATCTAAGGTCTATAACGTCACTGTGTAGCAAATTTGAAAATCAGAGTTTGTGGCAAAGAATCATCAATTCCTTTCATCATTTACCCAGTTAAATATTTGTACAATTGAAGGAGAACGATATGAAAACCGCTCAGCGATATCGAGCCCTTCTGTGTGCACATAGCTATTTGTTTATAACCAGCTATATAGATAATGTATCAATAATGTGTCTTCTGTAGATAATTTGATTTGAATTTGAACTCTGTCTGATAATGGTTGACCATCTCCACACTATACATGATAAAGTTGGCCTTCTTCACTCTATACCTTGAATTATTGACCACAACCTTTATCTGAGATGACCACCTCTTTTCTATTCCTGATATAGTTGACCACCTCCTTACTGTACCTAATATCGTTGACCCCCACCTTTCTATACCTGATATATATGTTGACCACCTCCTTTCTATACCTGATATAGTTGACCACCTCCTTTCTATACCTGATATAGTTGACCACCTCCTTTCTTTACCTGATATAGTTGACCACCTACTTTCTTTACCTGAAATAGTTGACCACCTCCTTTCTATACCTGATATAGTTGACCACCTCCTCCCCCCTGTATTTATTAAGCCAAGCATCCTGTCTACCAAGGATAAGAGAAACTATACAAGGACGGGTTGATAATCCCTCTTGTAGCTCCTGGGTCTCAAACACCTACATTTTATCATAAGTTTTCCGTCAGAACATTTTGACGGAATTGTGCAACTTACTGCTTTTAAAAAGTAAAAAAAAAGGAAAAAGAAATAGAAAACAAATGAGTTTATAGCAAATAAAGAAATTGATTCTTTGAAACAAACTCAAATTTTCCAATCATTAATTGCTGGGTTGTTCTTCAATAAATATTAATCCATATATTTTTGCAAACAGACCTAAGATTATTTGATCTGAAAGAATTCATAGTTTGAAATATCTAAGGTTGTAAGAAATACAGGGATTAGAAAATCAGAGTTTTTATGAAAGACTGAATTCCATGAAAAATGAATATTTCTAATAGAAATCAATGTATCCATAGGATTTAAATCTGCCTGAAGTTAAAACGTTGTAATGAATGATTAATGAACCAAATTAATATTAATGATAATAAAAGTCTTACAACCCCATGAAAAGCCTTAAAATACAATAAATTTCTACCTGGCAGTAGCTAAGAAGACAGTAGAGAATCGTGCTTATTAATCCTAATCCAAGAAACAAGATGAGGTGCTCAGGAATATTGCCAAAACTAGAATAAATATATATATATAGAGGTTAGTCTACTGAGGATTGCCGCAAGGCATAAAACATCATGTGAAGTAAAATACTGAAATACATATTAAAATGTTTTAATTTGAAGCTGATTCTTAAAATATATATATTAAGGTTTACAATTTAATTTTAATAGTTAAGAAAACTCTACTCTGAGATATTTATTGAAAGTACACGGTTATCCACAAAAAAATTGAATCTCAGTTAATACACAGTGATAACCTGAAAACAATTGAAAAGGAAGACGACATGAAAGCAATACTTTAGTGTATTTATTGTTGTTACAAAGCAAATAGTTTTACTACACACTCATTAAATCACTAATTTAGTGAAATTACTGTATTGGAATTTAAAAAGCCATATATCTTGCAGGGGCGTACGAGAGCATTTGTGTAGGGGGGGGATGTGTGCGCGTCAGCGTGCAAAAAAAATGTTTTCGCCCCCCCCCCTGGCAACATGGTGCCCCCCCCTTAAAAACCTTTTTTTTGAAAAAATATTGATACATTTTGTAACTATGTAAATTATTCGATCATATACACACTTCCATATAATAAGTGTTAATAAATTATTTATGTAATTTTCTTAAGTGGACTCATCATACAATCCATCTTAATACTGTTAAGTGTAAGCTTCAAGGGATAAAAAATAGAGATGGAAAAGTATCTAAAAAATATCTATATTTTTATAGGATCGATACATATTGCTCTATAAATTATGATATTTAATATAATAATATATATTTACACTGAAGGGAGTATTGATTAAACCTTTTTTAATGAAAATTTTTTAGTTAAGGGATAAAGTGAGATTTTAAAGTATTTTCTTTACGATGTAATTATACCTAAATGGAATACATGCGTAATTTCAAGTGACCCTCCATTCATAGTGTGACATGTCCGATGTACCTTTGAAACCTTCATTTCTCCATCAGAATATAATCAGAATATATTTGATTTCTTTTCTAAATCCTATAGTTTAATTGGGGGAGTGCAATGCAATGCAATGTAGAATGTAGATTGCCTGAGAAAGGGAAATGCAAGCAGATGTAATATTAAAAGAGCCCCCCATCGTACGCCCCTGATATATTGATTAAAAAAGTCGTCTGTCATTTCAGAGTTTTCTGGTTATCACTGTTTGATATCCAACAGCAGATTGTCTTATATTTAAAGTTGTTTGTTTTGATCGGTACATTAATTCTTAGCATCTAAAACACTATATAATTTACACAGAATGTTAAAATAATACTTTAAATTGTGTCACAGATATTCAATTAACACGGATAAATAAGTAAATGTTTTTGTTCACTTACCTCTTTTGATCAAATGCCAGAATACTAAGGTTTGCTGGTTTAAGGTAACATATAGTTTTGTTGTGAAAACCTCTATCTTCTAACATGATGAATACTCAAGAAAAGTGTAAGACCTAATTAACATTTGGGTATTTTCCTGTATTGAAATTGGCGGATTTTATGGCGGAGAACTCTCTCTAAATTCATCTATTTTGACAACTTTATTGTTTTCTTGCAAGTACAATATTCATCTAATCTTTGCAATTTGATTAGGCCTAGAAGAATTACCCATTCTTTATATCTCTGCACTCTGATGGATGTATTAACATTTGATATTTAAACTGTAACTTTTTCATCCATAATTAAATTTTTTTATAAAATCAAATCTCAACACAATCAGGTTGCAAGGATGTAAGATTTATAAACCAGAACGTAATTGTGGCGTTCCTTTCAATTAAATGTTGAGCAAGCTTTAAAACATAATTGAGTATACATTAAATTGAACTTTTCAAAATATCATACAATCTTTTAAAAATGCGTAAATATTTATTTATGCATGATTCATTGTTGGGTTTAGAGATGGGGGGGGGGGGGAGGAGATAAGTTAGGTTCTAGGCAGAACATTACGTCATAAATCAGGCAGGGTTTGTGTACACTGTCTCTCTCTCTCCCAACTCTCACACTGTACACTCAGTTCACAGACACTGTTGAGCTAGGAGATTTATCCCGTAACCAACTCCTTTTTATGCAATATTACCTTGACGATGAGCATTTTAGAGGACGAGGAGTCTCTACCCTTCCTTCATGGAACCCTGAAAATACATGTTATAGAGGCAGCAGATCTTCCAGATACAGACAACTCATTCTTTAACATTGACAGGAACGACAAAACCGATCCCTTTGTTATTATTTCCATCGGTGAATGTGAGCTGCTAAAGACTGCGTATATACCGAACACCCTGGAGCCAAGATGGGATGAGAAGTTTTCTATCCCCGTCTGTCATAGAGCCAGCTGTCTAAAGGTTAGATGATTAATTTTAAAATACCAAAGCGCCCAATAAATAACAATCTATGAGATAAAACAGAAAATTATCACTAAAATATTTGTAAGTAAATAAATAAATGAAATAGAAAATAGACATTGTTGCGACAATTGATAAAAGATGTATTTCAGGTAATGGTTCGGGACCGAGAACATGTTGGTAATCAGATAGTTGGAACATGTTTAATCTCCACTGAAGAACTAACATCTGGAAACCCTGTAGAGGGTTGGTACGATATTATGGTTGGAGTAGGAGGAAAAACTAAAGGTTCTATTCACATCATGCTTCAATTCTTCCCTATAGGTAGTTGTGGAGATGATTCCAGTTTTCTGCGAGACTCCTATTTCCAGCCTAAGACGGATAACCAGGTGGTGCTCTACATGACAGCCGACTCCCAACAGCTTCCAGTCTTTGACGGAGTAACCGAACCTGATGGTTCTCCGTATCAAGCAACCAGGTGCTGGTTGGATATCTACAAATCTATCTGCAGAGCGGAGAAACTAATTTATGTTACAGGATGGAGCGTGTATACCCAGATAGATCTAGTAAGAGGAGAATCTGCTCTAGAGTACCCAGATTCTAATGTAGGAGAACTACTCAAGAGGAAAGCTGCCGAAGGTGTAAGAGTTCTAGTGATGCCCTGGGACGAGAAATCTAATGATAGCGGTTTGCTGGCAGGACTCATGGGAACTCATGACGAGGAAACTTACAATTATTTCCGAGGCACCAACGTAGTCTGCTCCAAGGTTCAACGATCAAAGCTAAGCTGGATGGGGTTTGGAGGACAGTTCGTCGGAACCATGTACACTCATCACCAGAAGACGATTATATGTGACGCGGACACAGAGGACGGATCAGGGATGAAAAAACTTATTGCTTTCATCGGTGGGATCGATATTACGGACGGTCGCTATGATACTCCTGAGTTTCACCTTTTTAAAACATTAAATACACTTCATGCCGGAGATTTCTATCAGAACTGTACTACAGGAACTACCTTTAGAACAGGTCCACGAGAACCCTGGCAGGATATTCATGCACTGGTTATCGGACCAACTGCCGTGGATATTCATGATAACTTTGTGGATCGTTGGTATCATCAGAACCTCAAGTACAAGGACATGATCTACTACCTCTCCGAAGACGAGTTCAACTTGGATTATCCTGCGGAGGTTCCAGAGGAGCAGGGCGGAGCATGGACGGTTCAGTTGCTCCGCTCTATCACAGTAGACTCCGCCGCCATGTCCCAAGACAGGTTACAGTTTCTGAACCGGAAGTATGGAGCTCCTGTCGAGGATTCTATCATGAGAGAATATGTTATTCAGATAAGAAATGCTAAATCTTTTATTTATATAGAGAACCAGTACTTCCTGGGTTCAGCATTCTCCTGGTTGGCTGATCAGAACACTCTCTCCCATCATATTATACCTATTGAGATAGTAGAGAAGATAATTAGTAAGATAGAAGCAGGAGAACAGTTCCACGTTTATGTAACGATTCCTATGTACCCTGAGGGAGATCCAACCTCGGCTCCGAGTCAGGAGATCCTACGCTGGCAGTACAGAACCATGGAGATGATGTTTAAGAGGATCTACAGGGCACTGCAGAGAAATGGATCCGAAAATCATCCAACAGACTTCCTATCTTTCTACTGTCTTGGAAAGAGGGAGTCTCCAGATGATATCCCATACTATGATTTAGATGATCCTGCACCTGGAACCGGAGCTGAGAAAACAAGAGCATCCTTGAGACATCCCATATATGTGCACTCCAAACTTATGATCGTCGATGACGAATATGTAATCGCTGGATCAGCCAACATTAATCAGAGATCTTTGGGTGGGAACAGAGACTCAGAGATATGCATCGGTGCCTTCCAACCTAACTGTGTTCACAACGGGGAGATCCCTCGGGGCTCCGTTCACACCTTTAGACTTGCGCTTTGGTCCGCTCACCTTGGAGGATACGACTCAGCTTACGAAGATCCTTCGTCCTGGGATTGTGTGACCAAAGTCCGCGAGGTCGCCTCCGAGTTCTGGGATATTTATACAGCCGAGGAACCAACCCATAGTGATATTCATCTCCTGCCTTATCCTCTCCTGGTTTCAGAAACCGGAGATTTATCTTCTTTAGATTCTCCCTGGGATACCTTTCCAGACACACTTGCTCCTGTGGTTGGGTGTAAGAGTGGGCTTCTTCCAGCTAAACTCACTACCTAGAGCTCTCGGGATACCATGTCTTCCTATCAAAGCACACATTATTTGTACTTTAAACTATCCTGGTCATAATTCGAACCTTAATTATCTGATATATGACTTCAGTATTTGTGCAAGATCTGATTTATAAAATGTACTTATATGAAGCTTTAATAAATTTATAAATTTATAATCTCGAGAAATATTAAAAAAGTTCATCAAAAACTTCAACCTAGTACATTCTTAGTAATTTTTTGTTCTGTCTCTCAGGATGACGAGGATGGAAGTGAAGAGGTATTTTCCTAGCATAAGATAGGAGAGATGAAGACGTTAGAAGTTTTGTACATAATTTAATTACTTTGGCCAATTTCTTAGACGATCTACCATAGGTAGAACCATAGTCACAATATGGTTACGCTTTAAAGAGCTGTGTAGATAGATAGATACGACCTGTAGTTGTACCTATGGTTAAATTTATAAGAAATTGGCCATAAATATAAGAATTGTTGATTGAAAACTTGCATAAATTAAGAGTATAAGGTTTTCTAAGCAATGTAAAAATTCGTAAATATTTATTGTCCCTTAAAGCAGTGTTTCGGATCCATATCATTTTGATTCGGATCCGGATCCGCGGATCCGCATCAGTGATGATGGATCCGGATCCTTCAGGAGAAAGATTTCCATTTAAACCAAACATATGGGGTATAGGCTGAAACCTTAGCATTTTAGGAGTTGATAAGATCTATAAGAGTTCTATCTGATGTTCCTGTCTCGAGAAATTGATATACAACTATCAAATTTATACGAAATTTTTACATATAAAACTTGTATACAAATCTTAGGTTTAAACAGAATATACTCAGCAAATGCGAAACCAATCTGAAAACGACGATATCCCAAGGGAGTCTGAAACACGGGACTAGAACTCCCACCAGTGTCAGTGCAGTATCATTGTCATGCGTCTCTGTCTGTATCACGTGACAAAGAAGTTCTAAATTCACTCACATAACCAAAAAAAAAGATATTTAATAAATTTTGTATTCTATCAAATATAAAATGTTTACTAGCATAATGCATCTATGTTAAAAATGTTATCATTGAAAACTGGTTTCAAGTAGTTTAAGTTTTTCCGGGTCCGCGTTGAACTAAATTTAAAGGCCGAACTTCTGCTTGGCAATCGCCATCCACTCCCTGGAGATGATAATCCTCTGAATCTGTGCGGTTCCCTCGTAGATCTGGTAGATCTTGGCGTCTCTCATCAACTTCTCAGCGGGGTACTCAGTGTTGAACCCGTTCCCACCGAAGATCTGAACGGCGTCGGTAGCAGACTAAAATTATAGTTGGTTAGAGCATATCAATACTGAACGAGATTTGAGTTTAAGAATAAATTCAACACTTAGTGAAAAAATAAATTGTATGTACTGATGTACTTAAAATTCCCAAAAAAATATTTGTTTCTTTTAACATTTTTAAGAATAAATATAAAAAATTACTTCAATAAATTCTTAGTAATAAATAAATTACAAATATTTCGAGTTGTTACAAGTAATTATAAAATTGTATTTTGTTTCTTATAATTTCAAAGATGATTACATTCTACGGTTGTTTAAAGTAATTGTCACTTTTATGTGACAGCGTAACGTAACAACGTAGAATAATTTGAATATGTTTTTCACTGAAATGAGAAAATCTGGGAGTTTGTTTTTGTAAAATACGAAGATGTCCGTCATTGTCGTCCATATTTACATCAATATAGGGGGAGAAGTTTTCAATAATTAATAATACTCTATTTACACTGAGTTCGGAATATTTTTTTACACTTTGTGACTTTGTTTTGGGACTTTCAAAGGATTGATAGTCCTATAATATGAAGAGAATAGTTCAAATTCTAAATGGACTGTATAATACATATTTTCAAATTACTGCATTTATGTATTATTTATTTTTGCATGCAATGTTACAATTTATGCATGCAAAGATGGCAATGCCCTATTCACAACGGTACCCTCGGTACCTTTATTTAATAAATATTGCGGAAGATATTTTGTTTTTTAGTTTTCTAGTTACGCTAATAGTCCCTTTAACCCAATTATTGATGAGCATTAAATTCAATCCCTGAGTCCCATAAGAATTGACAGCATTTTAACATTAGTTTTCACCTTATTTGCGACATCTCCGGCGAGACACTTGGCGATAGAGGCCATGTAGGTGTTCCTGATTTTATTATCCGCCTGCCAAGCAGCCTTCTGATACGCCAATCTAGCTGCCTCGGTTCCAATTGCCATATCCGCCAACATGAACGCCACTGCTTGGTGTTGGATAATGGGAACTCCAAAAGTTTTTCTTTCATTTGCGTATTTTGTCGCCTCGTCGAGGGCTCGCTGTGAGATACCTACTGCTCCAGCAGCGACGGGAGGGCGGGTCTTGTCGAAAGCTCCCATGGCGACCTTGAATCCTGCACCCTAAAATCAAGCATGAATAAAAATACAGCTGGTTTATTCAATTTTGGTGTTTTATTGGCTTCTGTCATCATGTGTACTTTGTAAAAACATGATTTGCCAAAACTTGAATTGATAAGAATTCAAACATTTACTATCTTTCGGGTTCCTTGTATCATGTAAACAAAACAAATCGAACCAAGTATAAAAGTATGCTTAACCCGAAACTTGTCAAGTGAAAGATCCTTTTTTCTCTCTTTTTCTGTTAACAATTCTAACTTTTAGCTGTTAAAGTCTCAATTTTCCCTTACTTACAATAAACTTTTTCGAGATATTTTCTTTTTAAATTCGTGTATTTAAAAAAAAGTCTACATTTTATACCAGACCAAATTTGTCCTATTTAACTGTCCATAAACCTTTCCTGGGGTCTTATGAGTTGCCACAAAAAAAAGAACAGACATGTAAAGTATATTTATTTATATATTATATGTATTCCTACCAGAAGTTTTGTACATAATTTAATTACTTTGGCCAATTTCTTAGACGATCTACCATAGGTACAACCATAGTCACAATATGGTTGTTAACTGTCCATAAACCTTTCCTGGGGTCTTATGAGTTGCCACAAAAAAAAGATCAACAGACATGTAAAGTATATTTATTTATATATTATATGTATTCCTACCTCTCCGATGAGGACATTCTCCTCAGGTACAACAACATCCTCAAACGTGATTCCTCTGGTATCAGAGCAGCGCTGACCCATATTCTTCTCCTTCCTAACCGGAGTAACTCCTTGAGTATCTGCGTACACAATAAACCCTGTGAAGGCCTTGCTAGCTGGACACTTAAGTTCAGGGTTGGTACGCGCCAGGACGAAGTAATAGTTTGCAACTCCACCGTTGGTTATCCACATCTTTTGACCGTTTATCACCCATTTATCGCCTTTCTTCTCAGCCTTGGTTTTAATCCCAGCAACATCTGATCCTGCTCCAGGTTCTTAATATATACAAGAGATTAATACTAGAGTACAAGATAAGGGATTTAATTGAAAGTATTTCACATAGTTTAGATGTAAAAACCATGATACTAGTAGATATGTTTGTTACAGTACTGTTGAACATGTTCTTAGTTCTGTATTACATTTCTTTCCAAATCAAGTCAAAATGAACGTTCTTGACAGAAACTTATTTACAAATGATTGTTTGGTTGATATGTCTGATCTGAGAAAGACGTTAATTAAGAGACAATTAAAATAATTTAATTTACCATGGTAGCATGCACGAACAGTTTCAATTTTATAAAAAATGTTAAAGAAGAAAGAACAATGTAATTGTTAAATGATATTGCTGAATATGTACTACACTGCATACATTTGTAAATCTCTTTGAGTGTGAATAAATTTTTGTAATAATAGCAACACCTACTTAGAACTTACTGAGGATACAAACGGGCATTACTGGAAACTGATCATAACTATCAGGAGAAAGATTTCCATTTAAACCAAACATATAGAAAATATATAATTCATAATGGTTCTACTGGTCAAATCTAAAAAATAATTCCCTGCCAGATTTTACAGAACTGATCGACAAATAAAAAAATGTGCACTTGTCTCATATAAAAGGTTCAATATTGTGTGTTTAAAAGACATCAACCTGTAACTCCATATGCACACATCAATGGTTCTTCAATTAGTCGGGAAAGATATTTTTTCTTCTGCTCCTCGTTTCCAGCAATCATAACCGGCATAGAACCTAATCCATTAGCTTCAAGAGCAGTCATTATTCCTGTGCAACCATACGCCATCTTCTCCGTTATTAAACATCCGTCCAGTGTTCCCAAGCCCATTCCTCCGTATTTCTCTGGGATATGAAGGTTCATTAATCCAGTGGCGTGGGCTTTCTTAATAACCTCCCAGGGAAACTCCCCGGAGATATCGTACTGGGCAGCAACTGGGATAATTTCATTTTTGGTAAAGTTCTCCGCCAACTCCAGGTACTCCTCTTGCTCCGGGGTCAGGGTAAAATTCAGTCCTTGTGCAGATTCCGGAGCTGAACCTGAGCTCTTAGTTCCTGGTGCAACCTGTCTTATTAAACTAGAACTAGAAAATGTTCTCAGGGATTGAATTCTCGCCATGTTTCTTGTCAGCTTGCTCATTCTCATCTAAACGCAGGCAAAATTAAAGATAAAGCGAATAACACGGAGCGTTGTGCAAGTGAAATTATGAGAAAGGTTGGATTTTATAACAGGATCAGCTGATTCTAGTTCACGGAACCTCTCATATATATATCTTATTATCAGATCAGTACAGGACTAGAGGTCCTAGAGGAGGAGATCAGGATTAATCAATGACTAGAGGAGGAGAAGGATTTATCATTAATTAAGGACTAGAGGGGGGGGGGAGGATTAAACATTAGTCAAAGACTAGAGGGGGAGAAGGATCAATCATTAGTTTAACTGGAGAGGGAGAAGGATTAATCAATAGTTAGATTGGAGAGGGAGAAGGATTAATTATTAGTTAAGGACTAGAGGGGGAGAAGGATTAGTTAGTAGTTCAGGACTAGCTGAGGGAGAAGAAATAATTATTAGTTCAGGACTAGAGTGGGAGAAGGATTAAATTATTAGTTCAGGACTAGGGGGGGAGAAGAAATAATCATTAGTTCAGGACTAGGGTGAGAAGGATTAATTATTAGTTAATAACTATGAGTGAAAGAAGGATTAATTATTAGTTCAGCACTTACGGGAGAGAAGAATTAATTATTAGTTCATGACTATAGGGCGTGAAGGTTTAAACATTAGTTCAAGACTAGAGGGCGAGAAGGATTTATCATTAGCTTAGGACTATAAGAGGGGGAGAAGGCTTAAATTATTAGATCCGGACCAGAGGGGGAGAAGGATTAAAAATTCGCTGAGGACTAGAGGGGGAGAAGGATTATACATTAGTTCAGGACTAGAAGGAGAGAAGGATTAAACATTAGTTTAGGACTAGAAGGAGAGAAGGATTAATCATTAGTTTAGGACTAGAGGGAGAGAAGGATTAAACATTAGTTTAGGACTAGAGAGAGAGAAGGATTTATCATTAATTTAGGACTAGAGGGAGAGAAGGATTAAACATTAGTTTAGGACTAGAGAGAGAGAAGGATTTATCATTAGTTCAGGACTTGAGGGAGAGAAGGATTACTCATTAGCTAAGGAGTTGAGAGAGAGAAGGATTTATCATTAGTTTAGGACTAGAGGGAGAGAAGGATTATACATTAGTTTAGGACTAGAGGGAGAGAAGGATTATACATTAGTTTAGGACTAGAGGGAGAGAAGGATTATACATTAGCTCAGGAGTTGAGAGAGAGAAGGATTATAAATTAGTTTAGGACTAGAGGGAGAGAAGGATTACTCATTAGCTCAGGAGTTGAGAGAGAGAAGGATTTATCATTAGTTTAGGACTAGAGGGGGAGAAGGATTAAATTATTAGTTCAGCCCTAGAGGGGGAAAAGGAAAAAATAATAGTTTAGGACTAGAGGGGGGATTTATAAAACATTAGCTCAAGACTAGAGGGAGAGAAGGATTAATCATTAGCTCAGGACATGAGGGGGGGAAAGGATTGATCTGGCTCAAAACTGAATGGGAGAAAATCAAGCAAGTACATGTGAGGAATGAGACTTTAAACTTGTCCTTGCTTCAATCATTAGATTCATGTTTACCCACAAAGGGTAAGACTTTAAAGACGACTGGAAACTCTTAAAAAGTCACGATCCCGAGGTTAAATTATGTATTCTGCCTTAGTAGTAATTTAATGGCTTGTCAAATGATTTGTCAAAGTAACAAACAAGTTCACAGTTGCAGGGGATCGTCAATATAAGGAAACAGACATTGGAAATTTAGTAAAATCGTCTCTGAAGTCTTCTTATATAAGATTTACTGGTCCGTGTATCATCCAATCTGTAGATAACGTAGATCAATGTACTTTAGCTGCTACGAGGATATAATAGATTCAAACATTTTTTTCGTCGTAATACCACAGTAATCACCATTTAAAAGAGGAGTCGTCTTCGCTTTAAAAAAACTTAATGAAGCATTTAGATTTACTAACCGTTTTTATAGATTTAAAATAAATAACATGCCTATAAACATAAAAACTGAATAAAATCTGTAGCCTCTAAAGTCTCATCCTTGGTGATTTATCATATAGACCGGGTTACCCACGGATGAAGACTACTGTGCAGAATTTGAACAGTGTTTTTATAATCATGATTCTCTGCCCATCTATGCAAAACAATCGGTGGTACGCGATTTTAACATTACTAGAAATTCAAGGCGCTTCGCGCCCTTCTTTCTAGCCTTAAAGGGCGCTTCGCGCCCGTCTCCTAAATTAATTGTGAACATGTTCTCTTTGTGTACATCGTAAAACAAAACAAAAATAATTCGCGGATTTTTACAAAAAAATTCGCGGATTTTCAAAATTTTTAAAAATTTAATGACGATCGAATTTTGATAGAGACAAATATTTGAAATTTTGATTTTTCATAAACCTTCCCTGGGGTCCCTAGATGTCACACAAAAAATTTGGGCCCGATCGGTTCAGCCTTTTTGACGTTTATTGGATACAAACAAACAGACAGACAGACAGACAGACAGACAGACAGACAAGCCAAATTTATATATAGATAATGAAGACCGACTTTCGATTTCAAATTTAATTTATAATAAGCTTTTAAACAGCAAGGATACACAACCATGGAAACAAAGAGAAGCTTTCATTTAAAAAAAGCTTCTTTTTAATACTTTCAAAGAAAACCAGAAAAGCTTGTTAACAATTAACACTTTTAAAAAGTCGTCTTCACTATATATATATTGATTTAATCGCATACGACCGTATTATTTTAAAAACTGCATTCAATCTTCAAGTAGCGGCATTAAAAATGATGTCGTCATTACAGTCCCGTACTTTATGGATAACCCTATTAATAGATATGTTGATCTTGTGCAACAGCATTTATGTTGATGTATGAATATAATGTATCTAATAATTATGCTTTAGCAGTTTAAAGTTAACAAAAATGGAAGAATAATATTAAAATATAATTTCTGTTCATAAATTACATATTTAAATGGTACAATGGAACGTTATAGTTTGACAAATAATACATACAAGTTGATTAGAAGTTGATTAGGTGACCATGCTAGAGATATATATTCACTGTTTGATAATTCTACGGTGTGTGCTTTACTTTTAATAGAGTACATGCGGAGATTTTCCGGAAAACATATTATTTATTAAATTTGGATTTATAAATCATTTTTGATTCTCTATGTAATTGGAGTTAATATTGCATCAAAAAAACTTATAATCAGAATTTTTATTAAGTTACTCGTTAAACATTACTTTTTTTGGGGGAAAATTATTTCCAAGATGGAAGAGGAACGATTATTTAAGAAAATATATACCCCTGCATTTTCATAAAAACAAACGATGACTGTTATATTAAAAAAATCTCCAGGTTTCTATGCTTCTCTCGTTCCTTCTCTCCTAACCCAATCTCTAGCTGAAGAGAACTCGAGAAGGTTTTGTTTCATGATCCTGAGACGAGCTAAACCACTCTTATGAGGTTTAGAGTTCTTTTTACCCTGAGAAAGAAAACATCATCGAATCATTTATTCAAAAAAGAAATACTGGCGAAAAATAAAATAATTGGGAGTTTAAAATAATGAGATTTCTTCTCAAAACTTAATTTGGACATTTCTCTTCAAATTTAGGGACTAGGAATCCAACTAAAATTTAGGGACAATGAATCCAACTCAAATTTAGGAACTAGGAATCCAACTCAAATTTAGGGACTAGGAATCCAACTCAAATTTAGGGTCTATGAATCCAACTCAAATTTAGAAACTAGGAATCCAACTCAAATTTAGGGACTAGGAATCCAACTCAAATTTAGGGACTAGGAATCCAACTCAAATTTAGGAACTAGGAATCCAACTCAAATTTAGGGACTAGGAATCCAACTCAAATTTAACTAGGAATCCAACTCAAATTTAGAGACTAGGAATCCAACTCAAATTTAGGGACTAGGAATCCAACTCAAATCCCAAAACAAAAGTCACAAGAAGAAGGGAAAATGTCTTGTCTGGGACCAAATTTAATAAATGTGAGCTAGATCTTTGAACTACCTACTACCGGTTCTCAAAGATTTATTTGAATCGGTGATTTACGATTTAAACCGGGAATAGGTAGTTTAGCGAACTTTCCAATTCATAAAATTCGGCCTCTGTTCATAGCAATCATGAAAACCGGTTTACCTTGTAATAGACTTCAGTTATCATCTTCTCCAGGATATAATGGAGCCAGAATATATTTGTTTTTGGATTAAATTCTTCCCAGTTATTTCTGTTCTCCGTTCTCATCTTCCGGTAGATATCAAACTGATAATCCCCGCCTCGGTCCTGACCTATGGCGGAGAAAAGAGTTGGATCCGTTGCCAAATTGTTAAAAATTGTACATTTATCTTCCTCGCTGGTGAGCCTAGAGAGAGAGAAGTCTATAATCGTAGTTTCCACTCCTCCTGTTTCCACCGTATACTGATCACCATCCAGAAAAAATGTCACAGTTTTGTTTCCACTTTCTTTAATAAGAATATTCCCCCAATGAAGATCTCTGTGCTCGAAGTTGAGCGCCTCCTCTGCTACTGCCAATGTGTGAACAACTTGAACCCATGCGGAGAGAGCTTGTGTCGCGTTTTTGAACTCATATTTCTCCAGGTCACGTCCTCCGTTGTTAAACTCCAGGCTCACGTATAGCTGATCTACAGGTAGGTAGTCAGGACGGATGTTCTCCGAGGTTTTCTCTGCGTCAAAATCATCCCATAGTTGGAGCAACTTTGGTGGATACTCACCCTTAAATACAATACAGTTCCGAACCTCAACAAAACCTAGAACAAGAAATTTAAATAGAAACTGTATTACAGGGTTACCCACAAAGGATAAAACTATATAGACGACAGAAACTTATAAAATATGACTATTACATGGTTAAATTAAGTCTTCTGCCTTAAATATTGTATTTAATGGCCTATTCAGCATATTTATTGACATAGCAACGCAAGAAAACAGTTAACAGTTGCAGAGAATCCTAAACAGTATAAATTCTATGAAATCTTTACCTTTGTGGATCACCATGTACAATGTGTATAATATTAGAAATACATGTTAAACCCCAAGAAAATGAGTATGCTACTAAAACATTTTTTTTTGGCCTTTTTTATACCTGAAGTTTTGTTTAGTTTGCCGAAACGAAGATTGGATAAAGAAGTTGAAATTACAACCTCTGACATCATATCCGATAAACTGGTTTGCTCCTCGTCATTCACCTTCACAGTTCCACCGATAGGAACAACCTTGAGAACAGGATTCTCACCGGAGCTGGCTCCGATTAGATAAACTTCACCAAAAGCTCCTTCTCCAACCTTCTTGGAAGCTGCCATACAATCTTCACCGTATACATCTCCAAACTCAACAACGTTTATCTTTGAACACTTGCTCAACAGCTTCTCTATATCCGTTAGGTCAGGTTTAAGGAGAACTGAGCTGTCGGGTAGCTCTGACTTATCTTTATCCTTGGATTCGTCATGAACAATATAAAAACTAGATCGAACCTTTCTAGATGAAAGTATTGTATTATAGTCCGACATAGTTTCTCCAGTATCCTCGTCCTCATCTTCCTCTAATAAGGTTTGCGGTGCTGTGGATTTACGAATCTGAAGTATGGTTGATCTACTAGTAGACCGCTTAGATTTCCTTCCCCCTGTTGGAATTGCTGGGATAGTGAAGTCTGTTTTAGTAGGTTCAAGATTAGTATGAAGCGCAGAATAATTAAAAGAAGTCATGGTTGTACGTCTAGACTGAGATAGATTTAATCCTCGTGATATGTTGGTTGACAGAGATCGTCGCCAATTCTTTCCAGGTTTTACAACAAACTCCTCCGTATCAGATAAATGGTATGTAGGGTTGGATAGAATACTTCTTTCCTGGGTGTTAAAACTATCCTTTTGAAAGGTAAATTCTCCCTGCGGTTCCTGTTTAACCTCGGGTTCAACGTCTTCGACAGAGATAGTTTCTTTCTCAGAGGATCGTTCTGGAGTAGCATTGCTTCCTGGATCTGTATGGATAGATGTATGCCAGTCTTCAGTTTCTAGATTAAGTTTAGAAGCGTGGTTCTCCAAGAAGCTGTAAGACATGTCTGAGATTTTACACTCCTCTACACAATACGGACACAACCATTCAGGATTTAATCTCTCAATCTCGTCAAGATCTTCTTCAGTAAATCCTACACAATCAGCATGTAAATATAATCCACATCTATCGCACATAATTAGGGTTTTATCTCCTCTCTCATCTTCTCCACACACGCACCCCATTGCATCCCTGTAATCAAAGCTCTGCTCAGGTTCGACCTGCTGAGAATTTTCAAACCCGACTGATGTATCAGAGGATGCCAGAGAAAATTTACTTCCGGATCTAGTCATTAAGATATTTGAGCCCGATTTGGAAACTTCTTGTTGAGATTTTGTGTCTGAAAAGTTAGAGTTTTGACTCCTGGTCGAAACTCCTGTTCTACATTCTGTCTCAGAGGACTGAGAATGGTTACCTCCATCAAAAACATCTTCAGTTGATTGATCTTCAACTGGATTTCTGTTTTCAGAAACTTCTTGTTTAGATTTCGTGTCGGAAAAGTTTGAGTTTCGACTTCTAGTCGAAACTCCTGTTCTACATTCTGTCTGAGAGGACTGAGAATGGTTACTTCCATCAAAAACGTCTTCATTTGATTGATCTTTAACTGGATTTAAGTTTTCAGAAACTTCTTGTTTAGATTTAGTGTCGGAAAAGTTTGAGTTTTGACTCCTAGTCGACATTCCTGTTCTAGACCCGGTCTGAGAGGACTGTGAGTAGTTGCTGATAGAAACTGATTGATCCTCCAATTGATTTCGGGTTGATCTGGTGCTCACAGATTTTAAACCTAATCTTGAAGATTCTGTTTTATTGAAGGAGGAAGGACGAATTATCTTTTTCTCACAAGACGCAGGACCTTTAAGGTAAAGAATAAATAATTAGTAAAGAATTCCAAAAGAATTATAAATATTGTTTTTTTATATAACATATACCTGTATCTGAATTTAGACTCATCTCATTAAGTTCTGAGAGCATATTTACAGATTTCATTGTAACCTTCCATTTGAAGTGTCCCATCATACTTAGAGCAGGTCCTGCAAACTTTTTCCGTCCTCTCTCCATGGTAACCATTTTGTCTGGGGTAGCAGAGATAATTTCGTTAGAAGATAAGATCTTTGCTCTGGGAGCTGGGACTACTGCAAGCTTACCCGGAGAGGACTCGGAGACAGAAATAAAAACATCTTCACCAGAAGAAGATTTATTAGTCTTTGCATCTTCATCTTTGTCCAACGTTTTGCTTTTTCCAGAGATAGTATCAGGGCTTTCCAGAAATATAATTTCAATGCTTTTCTCTGGGTTTGGGTCGGAGGGACTGAGCGAAATATCCTGTGGCCCGACAGATCCCACGAGTGGAGTAGAAGTAACACATAAAATGGTTTTTTGTGGTCCTGAAACATGATAACTACTAATTTGTAGTGTTAAGTACTTTCCCTACGGCATTTTTCCAAAGGACAATTTGAATTTCCCAAGCGGAAACTTGCCAATGGTAAATGTAAAGTTAGGTTAGGCCTTTTGAGACGCTTCAGGCTGCACAGGGGGCCCAGCGCTGCGGCTAGAACACACCAAGGAACTTCCAGCTAGGGAATTTGTCACTTGGGAAAATACCCATGGGAAGTTGCCGACTTTGGAAAATGCCTTTGGGAAAGTACGTAACATCTTTGTATTTAAATGCATTTAGGTATTCAGAAGATAAGCATAAGATAAACAAACTCTTACATATCCATTGTTGTTCATTTGGACTAAGATGATCTTAGAGACTATATAAGATTATGAGCTCTTGGATTTTTATGAACTAAACCAACCTGGAGTCTGGAAGAAGAGATCAGGAGAACTTATAGTCTGTGGGGTTCTGGCTCGGATACTACTTTTAGAAGCACTTGGAAAAACCAAATTATTTGGCGATGTTTTATTGCTGACTTGAGGAGAGAATACTGAATCCGATGTTTGGGTGTTAATGGAAGGACTATTTAGGTTCTGTAGAGAGGAAATATTTGTGGAGAACTTAAGACCTCGGAGAAGTGTGGCAGAATGCGGTGGAGTTAGAATTCTGTTTTCCTTCTCCGTCTTCTCTTTTAGTTCCTGTTTTTTAGTCTTACCGGATTTGTAACTCCGGGTCGGTTTCTTCTTTTGAACCAGGACTGGTTCATCTGAGAAAGATTGGAACAAACCAAATCCGTTCTCTGAGTGGTTTGATTGAGCTGTAGTGTTTGCTGAAGAGAAGGAGAGAGGATCCCGTCCTGGCGCTTTGATCTTCTCTGTGTTCATATTCTGGAACAACTGATCGAACGGATCATCTTCCATTCCAGGGTTGAATACTGGAGATACTATCTGGCTTGAGGGCAGCAGAGGTGGACGCTTTCTTCTATTTTTCAACCTGAAAAGGTATATTTCTATATTTCCCTTTTCAGAACATTAGAAAACCAATTTCAAAAATGAACTTCTGTAGAGCTATTGAAATCTTTATCTATTTTCAAAAAAGACTAAATTCGGGAAAAATTCTGAAAAATAGAGTCATCCTTATATCCTTATATCCTTATAACCTACCGAACAGGTTCTTCTTCTTCGTCAGAGTCATCAATCTGAGTACTTGGTCTCCAACCTAACCCATCTCCTCCTACATTTGTTCTACTCTTCCCAGATCCAGAAGAAGGGAGATAGGTTCGAGGCATATTTAGTCTGAAATATCATAAAGTTAAATAAAAGTTTATAATGGTTATCATGTAAATCTGTTAAAAGTACAGGTACATAATATTAGTAGTGGGAGCTGTTGAAGTCAATTTATCTTAGGACATTTATAAAAAAGTCTTAACATGGTTCGGAGCAAGAAATTTCCCAAGCTTAATTCTGGGTTGATCTTTGCCTGGATAATTTTAAAGTTTAGAAAATACTAAATCTTACACCAATGTTCTGAGGGGAGAAAAATAATGGCCAGTGGGCCGTAGAGATTAATAATTACAAACAATAATAGTAGTTTAACTAGCCATTACCTTTTTAACCACTACTATATTGAATTTTTAATTCGATCTCGGCGACACTAAAATTTAATAATAAAATAATAAAACACTGTTCTAAGATTGATTAAGAAACTGGTCTAGATGCGCCCATCTATAGGTCATCCAGTCCAATCTTTTCGCACAGTTCTCACAACTACAATCCTTAAAATAAAACTAAAATGGGAGATTGTTACAGGACAAAGCTCAAATAGTTACTCAAATACACAACAGACAGAGATAAATAATTGGGAGTAAAAGACATCTTAAATAAAATGATGTAAACTTTAGAACTTATTTTCTATCCCCCCCCCTTAACAAAACTAAAATTCTTTTATTTTAACCTTTTATCCAATTTTGCAGTAAAACCCAAGGTTGTATAATAAGAATGCTTACTCTCGTTGCGCTCCAATGCACGGAAAATGTCGTCTCCTTAGTAAAGATAAAATCCGCATATGAAGTCACTGACTAGAAGCGAGAGTGACATCTTATGCGGATTTCATCTATCTTTGCTGAGGAGACGACATTTTCCGTACATTGGGCGCATCGAGAGTAAGCAACCTTATTACACAACCCCTGGTAAAACCCCTGAGAAAAATTGTTATAATACTAGGAGGGATGATTAAGAATAATATATACCCCTATCTTAATTCTATTAATGTGTTATGTTAAGTTTACCTTGTGCATGTCTACTGTAACACAAATATCACAAGCTAGTGTGAGATCTCCGCAGTTCAGATTTTCAGGAAGTTTAAATCCTTCTGGGAAACAAGTTTTACCTTGGCAGAGAACACAGGACTGTAAACCCTCTGATCTGGATTTGTCAGATTGGGAGGAAGAATTCTCAGTTAGAGTATCTGGTTGATATTGATGGGTAGAAGGGGTACTAGGAGAAGACATTTCACTGGAGAGGGATTCCTGATTTGGTTTACCTTGAGATTGTTCAGATTGTTCAGTGGAGAACTGGTTGATAGATTTCTCTTTAGGTTGAGAGGAAGGAACTATGGTCGGAGTAAAATTCTTATCCTGACTCTTGGTTGGGTAAATAATATCATCGGAGCTGGGAAGGGAGGAGAAATCAAATGAAGTATCAGATTTAGCATCCGGACTGGAGACAGGAAAGTAGGTCTCTTCTTTTAAATCTTTAGTTGTATTAAAGCTTGATTCCGTACTACATAGACGTAGATGAGATCCTTTCTTAAAGCTTTCAACGCCTGTAAACAGAAAATAGGTAAAGGGATTGTAACCGTAATTTTAAATGACCCTTCATGCACAGTTGCCAATGCCCAAGACACAACGGCACCCTTAAAAGCTTTGTCTGATCAAGTATGATTTAGAAATCAACGTTAATAACTTTAAAAACAAATTATTTTCAATTGTGGTTTCTCTGCAAAAGTGACTACTGCAGAAATACATATAGGAATTGTCATCTTTGCATGGAGGGTTGCTTGAAGTTATGCTTACAATCTCTTTAAACAAGTTCTAGACAAACTTAGGACAACAAAATTTTCTTTTGTTATAGATTAAATGAAATCAAAGAGAATGAAAAAATTATCTAATAACAGTGGATACTGGATACCTTGTTCGTTCTCCAGGGTGGGTGTAGAACTGAAAGGTGTTCTCTCCACCAACTTAAACCGTTTAGGACTGGCTAGAGAGCTAGATAAACCAGTATCTTTCTTCCTTGCTCCGTTAATTGGACTCAATACAGTTCTTCTTAATGTCGGACTTAACCCTGTGCTCTTTAACCCTGACAAGTTCTGAGCCTCATTCTTGGTTTTAGGAGTAGAAACTTTATATTTCAAAGTTGGGTTCTTACTAGAGGTAAAAAATTGGTCAATATTATAGTTCTTTTACAGGGTGTCCCAATTGTCTCTTTAAAATTGATGGAGATATTAAACGTTTGAACAGTTTTGTTGATTTTTAATTATAATTTAACAAATATCTGCGTCGAAGGTGTAAAAAATGGTAATCCACATTTTGGAAATCCCGAGACTATTAGTTTTCGGTGTTAAAGGTTTAACCCGTGATACCACAGAATTATATTTACGAAATAATCCCACTTGAAACAAAGACAATATTCCCATGTTGATTGGTAAGATCCTAAAAAATTCTGGCATAAAAGAAAAATTAAAACACAATTTTTTATTCTTTCCTGCGATCCATGTCATTCTCACTGTCGCCACTCTAAACAAAGGTTATCTAATTTTAATTTGTTTGTTAACTTGGTCCTCATTTGTTTGAGGCTAATTTCAAACAAAATACTTGTTTTTTTATACAATCTTCCTGTCCTCATCTAATCGTAACTTGTCCTCATCTATAACTATATTGTCTTTATTTATAATTATAAAAATCCTCATCCACAACTTTCTTGTCCTTTTCCACAACTATCTTGTCCTTTTCCACAACTATCTTGTCCTCTTCTACAACTACTCTGTCCTCATCTACAACTACTATGTCCTCTTCTACAACTACTCTGTACTCTTCTACAGCTACTCTGTCCTCTTCTAAAACTACTCTGTCCTCTTCTAGAACTACTCTGTACTCTTCTACAGCTACTCTGTCCTCTTCTACAACTACTCCGTCCTCTTCTACAACTACCCTGTCCTCATCTCCAACTAAATTTTCTTATCTAGTCCTCAAGTACACTGTACAACTATAGTGTTATCGTCTAGAACTATCTAAATCTACCATGTCATTATCTACAACTATCTAAAAATTACCATGTCCTTATCTACAACTATCTAAAAACTACCATGTCCTTATCTACAACTATCTAAAAACTACCATGTCCTTACCTACAACTATCTAAAAACTACATGTCCTTATCTACAACTATCTGGTGAAATTGATGGGATCCTAGTACTGGTAAGGGGACCTAGAGAAATACGGATTGTAAATCAGAGTTGTTAAAGGTACTTGGAGAAGCTGAAATAGCAGGGGGATTACTGATTTATTCTTAAAATATTTAATTATTGTAACAGGAGTATAAATATCCAAAACTAGGGCTGGGCTTGAATTCTGGGCAAGTTGAGTGAAAACTAGTAATACTAAACTTATAAACTAGGATGTGCAGTGTATCTGGAGAAATTGATGGGAACCTAGTACTGGTAAGGGGACCAAGAGAAGATCGGACTGTAACTCAGTGGTGTTAAAGGTACTTGGAGAACACGAAACTGAAATATCAGGGGGTTTACTAATTCTAACTTTAAATATTTAAATATAGTAGCAGGAGTACAATTATTCGAAAAATAGGGCTGGACATAAAATCTGGGGAAATTGGATGAAACCTAGTACTACTAAAAAGTCATAAACTAGGGCTGTTCAGTGTGTTTGGGGATATTGATGGGAATCTAGCACTGGTAAGGGGACCTAGAGAACTACGGATTGGAAATCAGTGTATTAAAGGTACTTGGAGAATACGAAGCTGAAGTGTCATGGGATTACTGATGTAATCTTAAAAAATGTTTAATTATAGTAGCAGGAGTATAAATATTCCAAAACTAGGGCTGGGCATGATCTCTGGGGAAGTTGATTGAAACCTAGTACTACTAACGGTACCTGGGGAAGCAAGGATTGGTACCCAGTATTGTTAAGAGTACTCGGAGAATTAGAACTTAAAATCAAGATCATGCGGGGAAACCAATGAAGTATTGATCTAATTCATAATATTTAGGATACCTGAAGGCTGCTCACAAATCCATAGCTTAACATCTGAAAGTGAAACAAACATTCAGGAGCATAACGGCCTTAGCTACAATAATAAGGTAAAAGGGCACCCTTTATGACTATATATTATAAATTATGAGTGGAAGGCATGATGAGTGACAAAACATTAATAAAAAAGGAAGTAAATAGTCTGGGGGGTGGTAAATAACTCATAAGAATTGTAAGGGGGAGCCGAATACATAATACAGCACAGGGAAAGGAGGTGGGAAAAGGAGATGAGCGGGGGGGGGGGGGGAAGGGGGGAGAGAGTTTTTTTTATGGGGAAAACAAGATTGGGGTTAATTTGAGTACAGACCCAAGAACTTTGGGAAATTCCGAACATTGCTACAACCTGAGACTGGCACAAAATCAAACCCTAGGCAACAGCTGGAGAAAATGGGGTATGTTAAATTATATTCTTAAGAGGAGCTAGGAGCATATAATCATCAAAGTAAGGAAGGGGGTGGGGATGGATCAGACTGAAAGGAGTGAGCTGACATTATAAATGTTCTAGGGCTAAAGTGGAAGAGTGAGGAGAACTATGAGACAAAGCAAGGTGCAACATTATGCAGCTTACAGAAGGAGGAAGGATAAGGAGAATCGGCAAAGGATTAGGATCACCAGGGCAGTAAATGATACCATTGCTATCGGGTTCTGGAATGCAAATGGGTTCAAGTCTAAGCAGAAGCAGGAGGATGTCATGGAGATTATGAAAGGAAGTGGTATGGACCTCTTTTGCATAGTAGAAACTCACATGAGGAAAGGAGCCAATGATGACTTGGCATCATTGTCAGGGTCAAAGGTATACTCAAAAGAGAGAGGTTTTGCGGAGAAGAAAGGGGGAGGTATTGCAGTCCTGGTTGAACAGAGTTTAAATCACATCCCATGGGAGCATCAGGAGGACTTATTCCTGGAGCTGTCTACTGAGAAACAATGGATACTGATTCATGAGGGGGGTGTCAAGCTAGCAGTGTGCTTTGTGTATGTGGTAGCAGAGGTAGCCGGGACAGAGGGGTTCAAAGAATGGAATGTTAAACTGTATGCAAGTCTCCAGAAAGACTGGGATGCCATGATGGGGGCAGGGTATGAGTGTATCATACTTAAAGACTTGAACAGGCATGTTGGGAATGGTATGAACGGGATTGAAGGAAACCATCCAAACGTGAACTTCAATGGCAGACTGATCCATACTTTGCGGAGGTCAATAACCTCCACATTATTAATGCAGATAAAAGTAAAACAAAGGGAATGTTTACTAGGATTGGAGGGGGCAATGCTACAGTTTTGGACTATGTACTAACTACGCAGAGGGCCAAGGAGATAGTCCAAGGGCTAGAAATAGATGAACAGGGGGTCAATCTACCATGCAGGATTGTTTCTATACCTTAAGCTGCCGGAGGCTAGAGCTCAGGAGACAGAGGACCAAGAAACAATAATTAATATACCTATATCTCTAGATTTGCAGTGTTCCACAATAAAGTGGACGAGATCTTGGATAAAATGAGTTGGGAGACTTTGGGCTTGGAGGAAAAATGCAAGGCCTTGCAGAGTTTCTTAATCCAGGCAGGAGAAGAGGTTTTTGGGACAAGATCAAAAGGTGGGACGGCCTGGAAACCTAGGGTAGTGAAAAGGCACACCAAGTTGAAGGCAACCAAGAAAGAGTGGGAATGGAGGGCAAAGTTCAGGGCTTTACAGATGGCAAGGATGAAGGCTGCAAGGGTTGTAGTGCCAAGAAGATTGCAGGCACAGGGAGTTTACTGTACTACTAAAGCAAAAGAGGTCAAGGAGCAGCTGGATGAACTCCAGAATAAGGAGATTATATCCAAGAGACAGAGAACCCAGAGAATTATTAAACTAGGGTCTGCAGGGTTCTGGAGATTGGTAAGGAGAGTAATCAGACAAAGCTCAAGGATTACTGCTGTGGAGGATAATGGATGCCTGGTCATGGACAAAGCCCTGATTGAGAAGATTGTGTTACAAGAATTAGGGAAAATATTCAAAAGAAAAACTTCTCAAATATTCTTGTCAAATGAGAGCAGCTGCTGATTGCTAACAGGGCTAGGGTGAATCATACCATGGATGACTGGATGGTTAAGAAGGATGGCGGAAATAAATTTCAGGATGAGATATGTAGGCCTGTGAGTAGTGCGGAGCTGGCAAACATAGTCAAGACACACAAAGACATGAGGGCTTCAGGCACAGATAATTTGCCGACCAGGCTGTTCAGAAACGCATCACCAGGGTACTACAAAAGACTGGAGGAGCTGATCAATTTGTGCTTAAGCTCAGGAGAAACACCACAGTGTCTTAATACAGCAAAAATTACCCTTATTGACAAAAAAAACCTTCGCTGTGTATCTCAAAGAAAAGGCCACTAGCCAAATTCAAAGTGTTATTACTAAACTGTTATCTAAACGAATGAGCTGTGTGGCAGAACGAGAGGAGATGTATGGGTCAACACAGTACAGGTTCAGGAAAGAAAAATCTACTTCCGAATGTATTTTCCTACTACTGGCATTACTTCGGAAGGCCCGGAAGAAAAACTATAAGATCTCTATTGCCTTTTGTGACTTGCAGAAAGCATATGATTCGGTGAACCAAGAGATACTGTACATAATCTTGGATGGAGTAGGTTTTGGAGGTAAGGTTCTACAGCTGATCCAATCTATGTATTTCAACGACAATGTACAGGTGAGGTTGGGACTGAACCTCTCCTTCCCTCTGTGGTTCACTAGGGGAGTAAAACAGGGGTGCGCCCTATCCCCCCTTTTGTTTGCACTGTTCATTGCAGCGCTCAGGGTCAGGTTGCAAGAAACAGAACTAGCTGTCAAACTCGGGAGCGTAACCCTGATTTGGATATTCTTCGAAGATAACCTGATGCTGATATCCAGGACAAGCAAGAGAGGGATGACGAAACTACTACACACTGTGTATATAGCAAATTCCTCGTAGGAAGGTGTTGTGAGATAGAGGACGACATTTAATTCATTCAATGTCGGAGATGCTATTTCAATTGGAGTACTGACAATCTGAACTAATGTTAAATTCCTTTTTATTACACATATCGGGAATAAAAAAGCATTTAACATGCTTTGAATTTATTCAGGTTATTCAAATTAGGTTATAATTGATCCATAATTCAATCCTCATATACAGAACAGGATATCAAAATTTCCTTATACAGCCTTCAAATTTTTACTTAAACATTTTTTTCTAAATGATTATAAGACCAGTTAAAACTTATGTAGGCTAAAGCACAAATTCAGTAAGTGAACAGCTGACTTAAGTAAAACTGAGAGTTAGTCCATTCGACCATTATTCCAATTAATATAGCACCAGATAATTACATCTCATGTTTCAGTAAATTAAATGATACTGGAACAAAGTCAAGATTTAACATTGTTGTAATAAAGTACACTACATTTGTACTTGTAAATATTGACACTTTGCGTATAAATGTACATTTTGTAAACATATTC